GTCCTCTCTGTGGATTACTGCTCTGAGCAGGAATATCGTCCTCAAGGCTTGGTGGGCCAGGATGTGCTCCACTCTCTCTTCCTCCCCCTTCATTTGCTCCTGTGTGCTCTGATCAGACATGTCTCTCTCCCTGAGCTGCAGATTCAGTGCTGTCCTCTGAAATAAATTCTTCTGGGGGGAGGGGCCACAATTCCTCTTTCTAAGGTAACTAGTGCCAAACCACAATTGGCTTAGTAACTAAGCCTTCGTTGATACCAGTTACCAGGTATGCAAGCACCTACTCCTTCAGAGCCCATCACTGTTGCAAAAATTCTATATTGGAGAGGGTGGGGTGGGGAAGGGAGCAGAGGGAGGGAAAAAAAAGAGGAGCTGATCCCAAGGGCTCAATGGAAAGTAAATGTCTAGAAACAAACAATGGAATATATGTACAAATATGTCAGCTAAAATTGATGTATGGATTGCAACAAGAGTTATAATAGCCCCCAATATAATGATTATTAAAAAAAAGGTTCTATATCTGCAGAGTTCAATTTGGCAGTCTTGCAGATTGTGTGGCTGTGTACAGTTATCAAAGCCCTGAAAAGTGGATTATACTAGATTAATGTAAATGAATTTGAATCACCACATGTGGCTAGTGGTTACCATATCGGATAGTACACATCTAGTAGGTCTCTAGATTTTCAAAATGCAGTAGGGAGAGTTCTCAGTTTCTGCTGGAACCAACTTTGCACTCCATTATTGAAGTATTTTTGGGTCTGGGTCACTGAATGAGGAAACCATTTCCTTGACTAGCTCCCAAGATAGCTCTTTTAGATTCCCAAGATGTTCACCTCCTTTGATCATGCAGTTACTTTCTTGTAGACATCTAAGTGACTTTGGGTGCTGGAAAACTCTACTTATTCCATGACTTGATTTCTGTCAGTCCTATACCATTCCCTTGACACTTGTGGATGATCTAGTTAAGACTCAATATTCCATTGAGCGAAACTTGGCTTCTCCTGCTGTGCCAGGCTGCTATCTGGGCCTCATCTTCTGAGGCTTGGGCCGACATTCCAAGAACATCTTCACCTCCTTCCAGTTCCCCTTCTGAGCACAAAGAAGACTACTGTCTCTTCCTGTTTCAAAAGCCTGCAGACACAGAAAGAAATTCCTCTCCACTTACAGTTCTGTAGAAACTAGAAACCCATTTATTCTTTTTTAAAAATGTATTCTTTCAACTGCCACCTTTCTCCATCCTGCCACACATCACACACCTTATTCTCCACTTCTGACTGTGATGTCTACCTGTCATGTCCATTTTAAATGCCCATTTCTTTCACAAAACTTTAGCTCATTTCCCTCAGTGAGTTTTAAAGTATTTTGTTTACGCTCTACATACCCTTAAGCAATGAAGGTCAATCTTGAGATGTTAATGTTGGCTTGCATGTGTGTTAGACTTGTCTGTTAATTAAACTGTGCCTCCTTGAAGAGAGAAGACATCTCATAACTTGTGGGTACTGTGTCAAACACACAGGAGGTGCTGACTAGCGTTTGTTTGCTCTTTCAGTAGGTCTCTGTTTCAGGACTAATGGAGGATAGGCTTCATTAGTTTGGAAGTCATTTTGTATATTTTTAGTCTTGCTCTCATCTCAAAACCCACTGCCATTGAGTCATCGTGTAGGGTTTCTGAGGCTGTCCATCTTTACAAGAGCAGACTCTCATCATTCTCCCATGAAGCAGTTGTTGGGTTCGAACCAACAACTTTGCAGGTAGAAGATGAATACTTACCTGAGAAAACTACCAGGGCTCCTATATATATTGCCATAGTGCTCTTGAAAGATGTGACAAGAGTTTAACGATATATTTTAATACCAATGTAAACAACAGCTTAAAAATCTATGCCTTTCAGTGACATCACAATGAGCCTTGAAAATCTGTTTGTCAGGCTTTACTGGGAAGTGGCTTATAATTCAGCTACAGTGGGTTGGTGAAACATTTTATGACAATTTGTTTGACAGAGCAAAAAAATCACATTGAGATGAAACTAGGCTCTGGAATTTGCGTGGAGCCCTCACTGCCCAGGCTCTGGAAAATGAATCTGTAGTTCCTCCTTTTCCAAAACAGTGGTTGAATGGTTGCCTCGTCTAGCTCCACACCTGTGCCCTTGATGACGCTTCATAGGTGTGTCTGGGAATCTTGCCACATGTTTTATTGTGTTCCAGATTTTGAAACCACCACTACACATAACTTTTCAAGTCTCCCTCTTGCTCCATACTTAAATTGCTTTTCTAAGTTATGGTTCATGTGAGCGACTTTGAAGAAGAAAATAGTGATATACAAATTCAAATCACATGCTAGTTTCCTGGAAGTGCACCCACAACCTTGACTCTGTTCTTCCTTATATTGAGAATAGGCAGACCTAGGTGCCCGGACACACCTGATCCTCACTCCCTGGACTGAGCCACTCCAGTAACTAGCCATCATTTGCTCTTCCTTTTTAATCCTTTGTCCCTCCACCTGTCCTCGGTGCCATTTCTGCATGTGCCAGTGCATAGAGTTACGGCTGGTAGACAGCCCTGAGTTAAGGTCTAAGGGCTCCTCTACGCACGGTTTAGCAACAGCAGGAACAGCTAGGAAGGGAGCATGAAAGCAGCAAGAGTCACGTGGACCTGCTAGCAGTTAAGTCTTAACACACACCCAGGTCTTGTTTTCTCTTCCCCAGAAGTCAGGCAGTGGGTTGGCGGTGGTGGTGAAACAATTAATTAAGCAATTGGTTTCATTAAGGTTGTATACTGATTGGCCACTGGGTCAGAATCTGCTCGATGGCAGGGAGTTTTTTGGGGGGGAGGAGGGTGGTGTTTATTAGTCTGTCAGCGAGAACATTTGCTTGAAGAGTTGAGGCCATTGGAAGCAGCATCAGTATTTCATTAGTAATTATTCAAGCACATTATTTCAAGAGGCTTTCTTTGACCCTTAAAGAGTCGACAGACTGTTGGTTAGGCATCGTGTTCTCAGAACCAAACGCACTGCCATCAAGTCGATTGCAACCCTGCAGGACTTGGTAGAACTGCCCTGATGGGTTTTCACAACTGTAACCATTTATGGGAGTAGACAACCATGTCTGTCATCTGTGGAACCACTGGTGGGTTCGAATTGCTGACCATGTGTTTAGCAGTCCAACATGCAACCCACTGTGCGACCAGAGTGCCACTCAACCCTGCTCAGTTGCTGCTTATTTGAGGAGTAAATGGTGAGTTTAAAAGGCCTGAAGAATTAGCCTCTTTGAGCTGGTGAGTGATGAGCTCCTAGAAAATCCCCTAGTGACCGTTGATTCATTAAATATATGTTGAGTCACTACTGTGCTCCAGGGATCATCTTTTACTTTAGGGCTGGAGCAGTACATAAGATGAGGCTTCTGCTGTTATGAAACTTAGGAGATCCAGAGCAAGTCGAAGTATAGGGCAGGGCTGCGCTGCAGAAAATGAAGGACAACTTGTAAGTGGATTGGTGAAGGAGAAAAAGGGGGAAAAGATTTGCTTATTGGACTTATGTTTTCCTATAGATTGGGGGGCATTGGCCATGTTTCACTTATCTGGTGACAGAACAAGATCTACAAATAATCATGGGCTGGAAAAGCCTTACATGGACCCTTGTTACATGCTCCTTTTCTCTCCTGAGGGAAGTGAAGACTGAGTTTCAGTCACTAAAACGCTTCATGTCTTCCAATGTCAAAAATTATCATTATGGCTTCCCTAAACTGATAAAATCTCCTAAGCTATGAAAACATCTTAAGCGGTGAAGGCTCTTCACACTTGTTAATTCATCATGGATAGGACTGTCACATGCAGTTGAGCAGCACAAAAGTGCCCTGAGGAAGGCCAGGGAGGGCTGAACCCAGCCCAGGGTCCACAAAGGGCTTGACATGGGCTCCCTGCCCTGGAGAAAGAGATGCCTTTGCCAGACACAGCTAAGGGCAGCCTTGATGGAGCAGCGCAACTGAGCTTCATTTACTGGCTTCCTACATCTCAGAGATTCTCCAGCATGATTTAGAAATGATCACAATCTATTGCCATCTTATTGATTTCAACTCATGGTGACCTACCCCACTCACTGATTAAAATCAATTCTGATTCATAGCCCGACCATATAGGGCAGGGTAGAATGGCCCCTTGGGGTTTCTGAGATCTTGAATCTTTAGTAGACAACCCCATCTTTCTCCTGCCAGGAAGCTGGTGAGTTTTAACTGATGACTCAGTGCTCAGCCAGTCAGTGACCTCCTGCATTACAGAGCTGAACCAAGCTTCATCAGCTTATCCTGGTTGTAATCTTTATGCCCTTCTTGCACCTGCAGCTGAGTGGGGTCACAACAGCTAATATTTCTGCTAGTGTTTGGGTTTCAAAATGTATTGGACCACCCACGGACCTCTGGAAGTGATGGAAGTCTCGACGATCCCTAGGGAAACAAATATTTAATACTTTTGAAAGTCAAATGGTGTCTGTTTACTTATACCCAGTTTTAATTCACATCATTTTCAGGTAGCTCCCAATCCAAATAAAGTAGTGTTCCTTTTTTGGGTTACCTATCTTTGCATAGACGAAAACTTGGGGGTTTGTTGTACTGTGGCTGCATATTGCCCTGCTTTTTATTTTAAGCAACCTCTGACATGAGATGCTCTTTCCTCCTCAGGTTGGTTAAATCTAAACTTAAGAGGTTCTGCCCCACAGAGGTTGGACTCCTGAAAACTGCTGAACGAGAACAGGAATCAGAAGAGGAGATGTGACTCTGATGAATCTTCCTACATGATCCATTTCTTTTATGTATTGTGTCCATGGTTTCGTTTTGAGAATTTTTGTATAAAGATAACCGTCAGTGTACTGTCCATATTTTAAATATTGTTAACATATTTGAATTTAAATATTTTATTTTTAGATATGAAAATTGGGGATTAGTTTCTTTTCTGGTATTCAGGCGTGGGAAGGATTCCTCCAATCATCTAAGGTTTAATGACCCCGCTATGAAAAATATTTGTTTAATTTGCCTTATAGTTATCCTTCAAGTTTCTTGGCTTGCTGTAACTTGTTAAATGGAATGGCATTTGTTCCATGAGAAATCAGTAAATGCATTCATTTCAGATCTTTGCTTTTATGCGTACATCATGAAGAAGCAACTTCATGACAATGGCAGGCCTCTTGTGAGAGACTTCCCTCTGGGGCCTGCGAGTTCTCTCCTGGAGAAGTAGGCAACAAGGAGGCCAGAGTTGTGCACTCTTTCAGAAAGTGGAAGGTATCAAGACACATGGGATCTACAGGACACCTGGCTGAAAAGCCTTGGCAGAGTGAGAGTTGTGATGTTAAGAATAAAAAAAAAAATCAAGCATCACGGCAGAGGCACCTAACCATTTCCTCTGCCAAAGGAGCTATGGGGTGAAAACAAGAGAAATTCTTTTATGGACTCTCTAGAGAACCAGTAGTTTCGCGAACCTTTCATACAGTTCCTCATGTTGTGGTGACCCCCCCAATCAAAAATTATTTTTGTTGCTACTCCATAACTGTGATTTTGCTACTGTTATGAATCGGGCAACTCCTGTGAAAGGGTCGTTCGACCCCCAAAGGGGGTTGAGAACCACCGATCTAGACCGTGGGTGAAGGAGCCCCTGCTGAGTCAGAAAACTAGCTCTGCTCTTCCCCGGCCTCGAGGACTTCTCCAGACACCATGTACCAGGTACTGTTGCTTTTGAGTAGACTCTGACTTATGGTGTCCTTGTGTGTATCAGAGGAGAACTATACTCTGTGTGTGTGTGTGTGGGGGGGGGTGTCCATGGCTGATTTGTCGGAAATAGATTTCCAGGATTTTCTTCTAAGATGCCTATGATGGCGTTAATCCTCCCACCGTCTGTTTAGTAGCTGAGCGTATTAATTGTTTTCATCACCCAGGGACCCACTCACGATGTACTTCTCTCTAAGGAAACTGGACTAAATGGGTTCTGGGATCTGTTACGCTGTCACACTCTATGAATTGAGAAACTTTGAAATGAAATTGAAGCATGTGTCCAGCTGTTTTCATACGGTGGTAATCAGAAAGTCCAGTTCATTCTGTGAGCATAATAGGAAGGAGGGATGTCAGAATGCTTGCACAGCCATCCAGTCATAAAGGAAAACAGCTGCCTTATTGGCCACTGGAGGTGAGACATGAGTCATGACAGAAGCACCGGACAATCTAGTCTGATGTATGTCATAGGAACGCTGGAGGCGGGTGAGCAGATTCTTCAGGTTAAGTAACTGACTGGGCACAGTTTGTTATGTAAAGTCTCAAGAGAAAAGATGTGAGTGCTTCCAGGTGTATTTCGTGTAATGCAGCAAACATTAGTGCATTCCTGGACAGGGCTTCAGACCGGAACATTTTGGTTACAGTACTGAGATTCACATTTCCATGGTGACATTGGACTAGTAAACACAAGTCCAGTAGTTCAAACCGTGGGAGAAAGAAGAGGCTATCTGCTCCCATAAGGACGGAGTCTTGGAACCCCTACGGAGCATTTCCATCCTGTCACAATATCACTCACGGTCAGAACTGACTGGATGGCAGTGGGTTGGTTGGCTTCATTGTTTGGGTTGGATGCTCCAGATGTACCGCATCAAAATCTGCATCGTAATAAGATTCCCCAAGGACATGCTGCGCAAACCATCTACTTTAAATGATTCAATGAAAAAGATGGATGAAACACTTGGAATATTGAGATTCAACACAAAAGATAGAGAAGTGGATGAATACTCAGTAGAAGAAGCGGAACAAAAGCAGCAAGAGAGGAGAGAGGCAAGCGAATTGGCAGCTGGCTTGAGGCAGCACAGCAGTCGTCAACTTCTGACAGAGCTTTCCTTTTCTTTAATCGTTTCATTAGGGCTCATTCAACTCTTATCACAGTCCATACACACATCAATGGTGTAAAGCCCATTTGTACATTCATTGCCCTCATCATTCTCAAAACGTCTGCTCTCCACTTAATCCCCTGGCATCAGCTTCTCATTTTCCCCCTCCCTCCCCACCCCCTCCGTCATGAACCCTTGACAATTTATAAATTATTATTTTGTCATATCTTACACTGTCTGACATCTCCTTTCACCCACTTTTCTGTTGTCTGTCCTCCAGGGAGCAGGTTATATGTAGATCCTTGTGATTGGTTCCCCTTTTCCAACCCACCTTCCCTCCACCCTCCCGGTATCACCATTCTCACCTCTGGTCCTGAAGGGATCATCCGCCCTGGATTTCCTGTTTCCAGTTCCTATCTGTACCAGTGTACACTTCTGGTCTAGCCAGATTTGTAAGGTAGAATTGGGATCATGATAGTGGGGGTGAAGGGGGAGGAAACATTTAGGAACTAGAGGAAAGTTGTCTGTTTCATCGTTGCTACACTGCACCCTTACTGGCTGTCTTCTCCCCTCGGCCCTTCTGTAAGGGGATGTCCAGTTGCCTACAGATGGGTTTTGGGTCCCCACCCCACACTCCCCCTCATTGACAATATGATATTTTGTTCTTTGATGCCTGATACCTCATCCCTTCAACACCTCGTGATCGCACAGGCTGGTGTGCTTCTTCCATGTGGGCTTTGTTGCTTCTGAGCTAGATCCCCTTGTGTTTACCTTCAAGCCCCAGATGCTATATCTTTTGATAGCCAGGCACCATCAGCTTTCTTCACCACATTTGCTTATGCACCCATTTGTCTTCAGTGATCGTGTCAGGGAGGTGAGCGCACAATGATATGATTTTTTGTTCTTTGATGCCTGATAACTGATCTCTTCAGCATCTCGTGATCATGCAGGCTGGTGTGCTTCTTCCATGTGGGCTTTTGACAGCACTGTCCAATCAAAATCCAATGCGCTACCATCAAGTTGATTTCAACTCATAGTTAGTTGTATAGTGATTCGGACTTTCAGTATTTACAGGAGCAGATAGCCTCTTCTTTCTCTCACAGTGCAGTCAGTGGGTTGGAATTATTGACCGTACAGCAAAACCTGATACAGGCATTCAACAAACTAGGAATAGGAGGGAAATTCTTCAAAATAATAAAGGGTGTATTTCAAAAATAACAACCAACATCACGGAGAGAAAGTGACAGCATTCTCGTGGGAATGGGAACCAGACACAGATGCCTGGCATCCCCGCTCCTGTACAACCTGGTGCTGGAAGCTCAGTTAGCGTTATCAGACGAGAAGGGGAAATGAACGGCATACAAATTGGTAAAGAAGTACAATTCTTTCTATTTGATCTTGTTTCACTGGGGTGCACAGGATTTCTCTGAGTCAGGACGGACTTTTCAGCATCTAATAACAACAACGTGTGCAGCAAAACTATGCACAACCGAGCAAACCACTGCCCGGACCCGGGCGGTCTGCACAGTTGTTGTGCTTGAGACTATTGTTGCAGCCATGGTGTCAATCAAGTTTGCTGAGGAGCTTCCTCTCCTTTGCTGACCTTCTTTCCAAACATCCTGTCCCTTTCCAGGCACTGGTGTTTCCTCACAACATGTCCATAGGATGTGAGATGAAGTCTTGCCGTCCTCACTTCCAACGAGCATTCTTGCTTCTTTTTTTTTATTTTATTTTTTTATTTTATTTTTTAATTTTTATTTATTTATTTTTTTCATTCTTGCTTCTTAAAAGACGGATTTCTTTGGTCTTCTAACAGTAAATAGTATTGTGTCAGTCTGGGTACTTTTGAGAAACAAATCCACAGAAACTCATGTATAAGAGAGAGTTTTATATAAAGGTTAAGTGCACATCAAGAAAACATCCTAACCCAGTGCTGCCCAAGCC